ACCCACTGGGGGAGTTTCATACAGAGAAGTCAATACACATTATTTAAACCAGCCATTCCCTGGGAACACTACTAGAGATAATGGTCATGGATTTTGCAACTAACGGTACTGTACTTCAAGTATTTTATTGGTTTAAAAGGCTTTGCTAATTTTGTCTGAGGACCCTGAACATCACTGAAGACTGTTTTTTTAATGGGAAAATGTAAGTTTTTAAGTGAACTTTTATACTACAAGCTAATTGCAGTCTGAGAGATAAGTGTATGTACTGTGTCACCCAGCCTATGAGACACATCTGTGTGAAAAATAAAAGTGTCAATCAATCATGATGATGAATCCAAATATTTTATTCAATGGCATCTTGCAAACAATATTTAATCATTTTTATCTTTCAGATTTAAACCAGATGGTATTTTCTACTTTAACAGAAGTAGTGGCTACTTAGGAAGAACTTTGCTTCAAATATTATTTAAGTTCTCTTGACAAATATTTCAAAGTTGGATTTTTTATTGTGCTTCCATAATTATAGTTATAAGCTGTGTAATAGAACAGACGCATTCTAAGAATATACTAGAAAGACTCTGTTCGGAGACTATGCTTCAATTTCCATTAAATACTGGGTTCATATTTTGCAAAGCAAAAGATGAGGACACTGATAAATGACTATTATATTTTCCAATATACTAATTTTCTTTTAAAGCAGAGACGTGGAACTTAAAAACTACCTGTAATGCTATGTTTTATTGGAAATAATTCACATAACTTACACATGAAATCGTACTCCTATGAGCAGAGTCTGCCAGTCAGGTCACCTGTGTTGGACACCTTTCCATTTTTTTACTGTATGTAAATCACGTGTATGCCATTACACAAGCAGAGGCCAGAAGACATCATTGACATTGCTCCTTGGGGAGGCTGCGCTCTTCCTTTGAGTCAGGCTAAGTGAGTTAGGCTGTGAGGGTAGAAATCCTCCAGCCTGGCCTCCCTAGTGTTAGGATTTCAGGCCTGGGGCACCATGTTGGCATCTTATGTGTATTCTGGAAAAAGAGCTTTATGCATGGAACCACACCCCAGCCCCCAAATTTCAAGAGTCACTATAAACATAGTGCTGTCTAGTATGCTAGTTTTCTTAGGATTGCCCCACCACCCCACCGCACCCCACCTCTGCCACCCCAAGCCGACCCCCACGGCTACAACTTGAAAGTCAGCCTAAAACTAAAGTTTCTTCTTTCAGATTCACAGTTATAACATTTATCGTGGGAGCAGGTGGAGGGGGTGGGTTTCTCTTGAACTAAACAAGCAACAATGAATTCCCCTCCATTTGGTCTTTCCCAAGCCTCCCTTTGTCCATAGAACCACACCCTTTGTAAAGAGAATACACAGCTCCCAATGAATCTAGAAGAAAAAACATACTTCCTAATTCTGTCTAGGGTTATCCTTCTCAACACGCCCTAATAGCAAAGTGGGTCACTGTGTTCCTGAACCCAAAATACCAACTTTAAAGTGACTTCTCCAATTCCTTCCTGTGTGACTCTGGATAAGGAACACCTGTGAATATTAGTTTTCACATCCCTGTGTGAAGGGCATTGGTATGGCTGCCCCATAAGGTGAATGAGGTTAAAAATGAAGATTTTGCAGTATACTTCAGACAGAACATGGCTCAACTGACTACTATGATTTTTTATTTGTTTAAAGAAGATATTATTCTGATTTTATAATGAAATCATTCTCATATACCTTGTAAGTCTAAAATGAAACATTTAGAAAACTTTTAGTATTGTTGATGATAGGGTTTTCTGAGAAGTCCTAAATTCATACTCTATGACAAATTTTCATCATCTTGTCCATGAATTTGCTTTGATTAACTTATTAATATGAAATTGTGAGATGCATTTCTACATGCAAGAAATTAGTCCTTTTGAACTGAAACTGAGATTCTCAAACTAAGAATGCAAGAGGTTTTGTTTCTTTCTCTTCTTCTACTTGAAAACTGAGGGCAGGTGTTCCATTCTGATATAGCACTCTCCTGATACAAACTTAACAAGTATTCTACCAATTCATTAACAAGTTAAGTAACCTCTTTATGATATTAAACTGGAGAGTAAAAACAGCTAAAATTTAGCCTACGGCAAAGGCAATTTTAAAGAGGTTCTCTAGGGCTTGCTTGACATGGGTCAATGGACCCTTTCTGACAACATTTGACTTTCTTCCCTAGAAACTACATTTAATGTAGAGCTGGGGAGAATATATATCTATGAAGGAAGGGAGGAAATGAGCAAAAATAAGAGTGGGCTAGACTATGGAGGCCTAGTATGGAGACACTTGTGATAGATGACTAAAAAGCCTCAAAATTGCTCTGCTTTATAAAGTTTATTGTATCACCCATGGAGTGATATGACCATAAAGTCTTACCTTAAAAAATACTCTTGAAATTCAAAGACCACACATATAACCCATATGTACTTTGCCCAGCTCTGAAGGCCTTTATGAAATTAGCAGACCCAGTGCTTTTTTTTTTGCAAATCCTACTTGATGACTACATGACCGTAAGAAAACCCTAAGAGATATTCTGAAGTAAACAGAATACCCTAATCTTATCTGTCTACTTTAGAATACACATGGGGAAATTACCTCTCAGTTTAGAATTTTCCTTAGTAATTAGTCTATAAGAGACAGCAAATTTCAAGGAATTAATCAAAGGAAAAACACGCACTGGCATGGAATGAAATATATTCTGTGGATTTCCTAGGTTGCCAGTAACATGATTTACTTTCATAAGATGTAGACCTGTGCAGTGACCTCTCTACAAGCAGTTCAAAAAAACCACACATTTTTCTCAAGAAACAAAGTGCTTTTCAGTGTTCCACAGACTTAGACATTTTTAAGCATTCAGACAAGTCTAACAAAAATCTGATCAAATATGCCTCTAAGTTGCCAAGAAATGTGATTGAACCCACTTCCTGCAATTTCATTTTGTCTAGCAATCTTATTCTTGAACATCTTAGAAGAGCAGGCTAAGCTCCCATTCCCCCACAGCATCAACAAGAACACATTAAAAGACAAATCAAAAGCATTGATAAGGTGATCGTTTCTACCAGTCGATCTGAATGGTTAGTAAACAAACATGCTCGGAGAACTTAACTGTGGGATAAGGGGTGAAAATTAATTTGGAAACAGTGTCAAGTGATGCACAGATTAAGTCTTTTCAAGAACGGGGGGGGAATACAAGAGGATGGAAACCCATAGTGAAGCCGAAAACACCAAGTAGCAAGCAGTAGAGTCATTTTCCTGGAACCCATGTGTAGCGGCTTGTGTAAGAGGGAGACTTGGGGACACTGAGCTTGAAGGGAAAGGTGAAGGCTGAAGGAGAAAGTAAGAAAAGAGAACTGCCAAGTGGTTCATGCCTTTCTCCAAAGGTCTGTGTAGTGCCAGAGGAAGGAGAATGTGTTAGACAGAATCCTGTTTGTGGTAAACAACTGCTCTGAGACTGGAGGCACTCCACGAACGAGCAAATCACAGGCTAGGCTTCCTGAGTGCACACGAACACTTAGAAGTGACCCGACCCCTTTACATTTGAGGAGAAGTCAGTGGGTTGTTTCCATACTGGACCTTCAGTATTTTCTGAGTCTCTGTAGCTACACAAGTAAACCCCATTCTAAAAACAACACCCAAGGCAGCAAAACTTAAAAAAAAATTACACTTATATTCATACTGGGCTGAACTTACTGAACTGTTGCAATTCTGGTTAATTTATAACTCTCTCGGTATCTATATGTTTTATTCACATATTAAAAGATGAGTGTGGGGCAATTTTATATTTATTGATGCACCCTGCTCATGAATCTAGAATTAAATATACAAAACTTTACGATGTGAGCAATTTTGGCATTTTACTGTCTTTTCAAGTTCTAGCCTCTGAGTCGTTCAGCACTGGCAGATAAGACTCCAGAAATCTGACCAAAATCTATTATTTGCTAATTCTGTGCAATTTGCTACCACTGGTAATAAGCAAGAGGTTTCTGTCCCACCCAATGCTAGACATTTAAAAACACTAACAGTAAAATATTTACTTTTCTTTTGGGCTGGGCTTGAAAACACTCAGATTGTCAACAAAACCCTAAAACCAATCAATACAAAAAATAGAAATTTGCAGTGCTATTTAAAATATTGACATTATTGCATGACTTGATTAGATGGAGTGTTGACCCTGAATGCAATTACCTCAATGACTGCCGTGCAGATTAAAATTTCCCAGTATTTAATCTTATCTGCGTTATTCCTGTTAAAACACTTGTGCAGTCATAGTTTTTGCATAAATGTCATGTTTATACACATTGCACATTGGCACTTTTTATGAATGGATACAAACAAATGCTCCTAATGTGAGAAAATGGATGGCATGGAGGGACACTATCTTGAAAAGGCTCATTAGGTCTCAGGAGCAGATGATGAGGCAAATGGTGGGTGTCTTTAGGTGCCACTCAGGGCAACTGTATTTCCAAGTCCCCTCTGCAGAACGTGTTGGAGACAGCCTTGGAGAGCTTTCCTTAGAGATCTGTTCTAGCTAGCTCCTGGGAACCAAGACCACTCACCATTAAGGAATAAACGCATGCATATCTCTGTGTTCTGAGGACTGTGCATACAACTGAGACAGCACGCTCGCTAAGTCTAGTCCCACAAGTGTGTGCCTGCAAGTGAGGCATTTACCAACAAATGAACAGGAACAGAAGGCAACAGGGGCTCCTCTCCTACATACAGCAGTTCTCATCCTTTTGGTCAAGGTAGGCTTGTCAGGGACTCACACTTGCGTGTCTTCCCCATCAGGAAGAAGCCTTGCATTTATAACCAGTCAGGGCTAACAACCCGATCAGCTTTGTATGGAAGTCCACTAGGAGCCATATGGCAGTTTCCAGTTCCTTTAGCAACTCAAGTCTGGCAGGCTGTCACGGAGAAGCATCTCTAAAGAAGAGCTCTTGGGGAGCAGCAATGCCAGGGCCACTTACCTAGCTCCCACAGACCCCCGCTCCACTCAGCCAGCAGCTCTGGCTCCTGTGCCACAAAGGGCTGTGGGATTCCCCGCTCCCTCGGAGGGCTCCTCTCCTGCGAAGGTCCCTTTCGTCAGAGATGTGTCGCTGGAAATCCCCCTCCCCTCCACAGAGAGGAGGGTCTCCCCGGCTGGCTGGAGCTCCTGGCGGCTTTCCTTCTCTTTACATCCCTCACTCTGGTCCGAAGTCTCTAGTAAGAAGGTTCACTGAAGACTCACTGGGAGGAAGCGAAGGCATCCTCTGAAAAGAACAATAATCTTCCTCTCATCAGCCCCTTTCCCCGCGTGGAGCCCCCATCCCCCTGCCGCCGCCGCCCAGATAAGACAGGGCTGGAGTGAAGGGGGAAAAAAAAATCAAGAGGTGCTCTGCGCTCCGGGCCAGCCCTGGACTTGGCTCTGGATCCTGCAGCCCCAGGCGCGGCGGAGACCGGCGGGGGCGGCGGGGGCTCGGTGGCACTCGGTGGGTGTGTGTCTGTGTAGCAGCGGCGCTAGCTGCGCGCGAGAGGCCAGGCTGGCCGCTCCGGGGTGCGGGTCCTCCGCCCCGCAGCTCTCTGGCCGGGCGCGCACACTCGCCCGCGGCCACCCAGCCTGGCGCTCCGCCTCCCGCGCTCCGCGCACCCGCAGGCTGGGCGGCCGCCGCCGCCTCTCTCTCTCTCTCTCTCTCTCTCTTTCTCTCTTTCTCTGCGTCTCCTCCTCCCGCAGCTCCCAGGCAATCGCGGCTCCCGGGGTGGGCGGCCTGGCTGCGCTGCTGGCCAGGCACCTCCAGGGAACGCCAGGCTCGGCCTCGAGCCGCCAGGGCTGTGCGCTCGCCAGGCGACAGCGCCCCCGGTGCCCAGGGCGCGGCCGGGGCGCGGGCGATCGGGCGCCGCCCACACCTCGCCGGGATCCTCCCTAGGCTCCCGCCGCTGCTTTGGTCCAGGCTCCACACCCACCTGCCTCTCCGCGTGGCTTCCACACTGCTGCACCCCACAAGGGGGCCTCAGCCCCGGGGCCACAGCAAACACACCGCCGGGAAAGCCCTGGGAAGCCCTGCGGAGACGCTCCGGTGGCTCCACGGATTTCCTGGCCCTTCTCTGGCTATGCTCTCCCGCCGCTGACCCCTAAGCGACCAGAAGCCTGGCTTCCTGTTCCACCATGGGGCACTGGGGCCAGGACATATGACTCCTGAAGAATGAGCCCCAGTGTGTTTTCCCATAAGAGAAACTCCCGGAATAAACGGGAGACCAGGTGAAATGCGACTTCACTCCGAGATCTTCCAGCTCCACTCCGGACCATCCCTACCTAGTCAAAGTCAACCAGCTTTTCTGTGTTTTAGGATAAAGCTAGGTGGGAGGCTTTGACTCTTACTTCCCATGGGGGCGCTGTTCGTACCCTGGGCTTGCTTGCTTTAGTGATCTATTTACTGACTGGAAAACTATGTCAAGTTCTCCTTTAGTGAGAGGGCCATAAAGTGGATACTCCAGTTCCCTTCCCAACTTCGGGGTGCAATAAGTAGAATGAACGTGAACAAAATTACTGGGCTCTGCAGGTTTCTGACCTAGGTGCACCTTGATGTGTGGGAAATTAAGCAGTCAAGACAGGTGTGTTTCTTTCAGGAAAACACGTAATTTAAAACACCATTTCTTTCTAAAAGAATTCAGGACACTAGATTATATTCCAAGCTGGGACCCCACCATTGCTTTTGACCGAGAATGTCTAGATACTGTGTTTAAAATACAACTCATTTTGTCCTTATGTACAGGGTGTGGCGTTGCCTTCCGGGATTCTCTGTGTCCCTACCTCTCTGGGTCTTAGCTTGTGCTGGGTTTCCTTTTTGTGAGCTCTCACATTTGCTGGATGCTTACTCTTGTTCTTCTAACTCCGTCACCCTCCAACAGGAATCTTGCTTGGCTCCTGTTTTCTCTCCTTGAGACGTCTGAAGTGTGAGCCCTAAGAAGAGAATGCCTAGATTATAAAACGTTTATCACAGTCCTGGCCCACCCCCAAGCACCACCTCGAAGTGTCCAGGAGCTTGCAGGAAGTGCATTACCTTGCCTGCCTCCAGTCTTCCCCATACAGTTTACATTTCTCTGCAGACAACTCGTCTCCAAGAACAACGTTGAAGTCATCACTGTGCCTGCACAGCTGTGACAATAGGTCCTGTGTTTCTTTCCTTCTAGAAGGTTCCTTAACTACCACAGCCTTTTCAAGGCCCACTTCATACTCGACCTCTCCTCTTAGACATCCAGAGCACACTGCCCCAGCTTTTTAAAGAGACACAGGATGTCATCTGCTTTTTATGGCATGTGTGTACTTTAATGAATCATTGTAAACTGCAAGTCCCCCCCCCCAGGAATAATTTGAAGATACCTTCACTGTTTTCATGCCTTTGGGGAAACACAATGGCACCTATTCAGCAAACACTCACTGTACAGGATTTTTCCCATTCAATATTTGTCACTTGAATGGAATCTGTAAGAAACATTAAGTCTAAAAAGACATTCTAACATTTATTTTGAGTATACTGAAATATCAATGGCACAGAGAACTTTTATACACGTAAGAATAATTATAAAAATTCCCTTTGATAGCTATATATCAGCAATACTACTGAATACCCCAGTGAGAACTTCATTTATTTGATAAATAATTGCTCAAAAATATTTGCCTAAAAGTGGGCACATAGAAATTTCTTCTAAACTGAGAGAATCGGGGGTGTTAATTTGGGGCTGGAAAGATCTCACTGGTCAAGAGCTCCTGCCACTTTTGCAAAGAACGCAGGTTCAGTTCCCAACCACAACTCAAAAACAGCTGTATTTAAAGTTCCAGGAGATGTTACAGCCTCTTGCCTCAGAAGAGGGCACCAGGCTTGGATGTTGTACACATATACACATGCAGGCAAAAAAAAAAAAAGCTTTCTTTAATAAAAAAAGTTGCGTTTGACTTTGGTTAGTTTTGAAAAATTGTATCCATTGTCTACCATGGGAATGATTGTTAGCCAACTGCAGTGCTGTCAACTCTACTTTCTGGGAAACAGGGTGCTAGGGTTTGGTTACCCAATAGCCTCAGTTGTGAATCTGAGTTGCAGTGATAAGAAAGCAATTTCAGGGTAGGGGGCATGATCTGCTTCTGCCTACTGGGGGCTGCTCGCTTCAGAATGGGTTAGAGAGAATGAGGCGTTGTGCACCAGTTGTTGTGGCAGAGTTTGCCCAAAGCACAGAGCTTTGCTTCCAACAGACAGCAGAAACTCCTGCATTCATTATCATCACGTGGCTGCACCTCTTTAGAACATAAATTTCCATTTTCTCCATTTGTTCTCCAGAGGAAAATGTAACATGATGTAACTGGAAAGTCAGGCATGTTTTCATATTGCTTCTTAACTCATTTTTAATCTTTATTGAGATTTATAGAAATGTTCTTTTTGCTTATATTTCAATTTCTTAGATTCATCCTGTGATATGAGAAAATTATATTAAAGAGGAGAAATGACTGCTCACCGGGTATCAGAATGCCTCCCTGGTAAAACGTGCTAAAACAAATAACTGTAGTACAAGGTTAGCCTGAAATAACCTTTCTGCATATCAATAGACAAAATTTAAATGACAAATGTTTTTCCTCGTGCCTCATAATGCTGCTGTGTAGGAACCTCTGCAAATACAGTACAAAGCAGAGTATGTTCATGTGTTTTTGTTGTAGGCTGCAACATTTGAAATTATTTATTTTATTTTCCAGTTTAAATTTAGATAAGAAACAAGGATGCTTCACAAGTCAGTTCCAGGTCCCTCTCCCTTTCCCTCCCCTCCTCGCGTGCCCTCCCCCCCCCCCCGTTATCCCCTCATTCCCCCAGGGAGGGTGAGGCCCTCCATGGGGGTGTCCATAGTCTGTCATTTCATATAGGGCAGGGCCTAGACCCTTCCCCAAGAGTTCAGGGTGAGAGTGCACCTCACATTGTTCTATGGGAGTCCACCTGAATAACATCAGAACTTACTTCAGTCTATCAAGCAGCGATTTGAATTGCATGTTGATTTGCAGGGCTTGTATACGTTAGAATAAAATAGAAGGCTAGAAGATGAGCACATTTTTTAAATGCTAAATGCACAAAAGGTAGCAATTTCTAAGTTTTTGGAGACTTAATTTGGTGGTTTAATGTATGTTTTACTTTTATTTATTTGTTTATATTATGACAAATGAAGCCAGTGTAGTGATACAGGCTGATAATCCCAGCACTTGGGAAGCTAAAGCAGATGATTCTCAAATTACAGGCCAATGTGGGCTACCCAGGAAAACTCCTTTTAAAAATAAAAAAATACCTTAAATTGAAGGCAGTGTACAACATATTGAGTAAAATCCAATAAAACAAAAATGAATGTCAAAAGAAGAATTCCAAAAACTGCACAGACCCTACTAAGAGAGAAACCTGCATAAATATAGGGTATGCTCATGCACATGTACATGCATGTGCTTGTGTATGCTGCTAGTGTGTATGTTCCACACCCTCACAGTCTGGAAAAGTTTACATTGCCAAGCTAAAGAAATTGTCTCTGCATAAATAGGCAGGTTTGTTTTGTTTGGCAAATACCAGTTATATCAAAAGACGTGGTGGTTATCAATTTCCTTAAACATCAGTACATAATAATACTATTTGTGCCCTTAATTAAAATCCAATTTCTATATTTATTGTGATTACAGGATTTTTTAAAGAGCAAATACTACTGTGGGTTTTACTGTTATAATGGAAGCCTTGTATGACAATGAGGATTTACCATACACTAAAGCCTAATGTGCTTCAATATTTCCTTCTAAGTAAAAATATAGGCACACTTGGGCAGTTCTGAGCAACCTAACAGAATCTTAGTAGCCACTGAAATCCTACACTCAGGTATGCAGCGAAGACTTGGAAAATAAATGAGCCTTCTGTGTGTTCTTCATTGAGAAGATAAGTGCTATCTCCCGGCTATGCTTGGGTTTGTTGAGACAGACTTGGCTGTCCTTTGAAGATTTAAGGCAAGAGATAAGTTCCAGACTGACTGTATTTTTATTTAAAACAAAACAAAACAATTCTGGTTCTGATCATGAAGTTTTTGAAAACTGCCAGACACTTAAATGCATTTCTCTATGTCCTAGTATGGCTCTAAGTACCACATTTGAATTCAACCTTTAACCTACCAGAAGACAGCCTTAGCAGCTTGTTTTTTTCTTAGGTACCACAGGATAGTGGCACAGAATTTCTGGAACTAGTGAACTGAAAATTTAGAAAATGCATCACTTAGAAATTGAAATTCGGTATGTTATTCTAGGG